CCCCCCTGCAAAGTGACATTGTTGCAGCAGCCCACGCATCTGCGGCCTCAGGCTGCGGGATATCGATTGCTGTATGCTGGGCAACCCCCCCGTTAAATGACATTGTTGCGGCAGCCCACGCGTCCGCGGCCTCAGATTGTGGAATATCGTTGGACTGCCCTAAGTAATTAGATGGTTTGTGATTAACACTGACTTCAGTGGATTGTAACATAGGTGTAGGGCCTTGATAGGTTTGTTGTCGTGGTTCGTCTGCCGGGTGAAAGGTATCAACTAATGATAGCATAACTGGTTCAGCTGGAAAGTAAGCAGTCTCAATAGCTGGCTGGTTGTTAAATCCTGATAAATCGGACCGGGAATTTCTGCGAGGGAGAACAATCGAATCAGGAGACCCCGGTCTGTCGTTTGTTCCGGCTTCATGCCGATCTGCAGGATAGGGTATAGCTGTGCCATTTGTAATCAACATATAATCCGAGTTTTCTAATCCGACAGGGTTTGGAATATCAACGTTTCGGCTTTCGGAGTTGAAACATTCTGAGGATTTGTTACCGGAAACAAAAGCCCTATGCCTTTTCCTGGACGGCTCTGTGATCGTTATGTCATCATTACTAGGCCGCCTTCTGCTTAAGTTTGGTGTATCGCTTTCTGCATATGCACCGGTAGTATGAGCATTGCATCTCCCGAGCATGTGTCGATTGGACGTATATGCACTGTATATAGCGTCGAACGCTTGTTGTAATTTAGACCGATATTCACGATCGTACATAGTTTCTTCGTATGCATTCAATGCTTCGGCCTCAATTTTCTCCATCTTAACACGTTCAAAACTAGAGTAAATAGCATGTAAGCAGGTGAACACGAAGCCATGTCCAGTGTGACCAACCCGTTCGCAACATATGTCAAAGGAAATTCTAGTATAGCTTCTCGCCGTTGAAACAATGACCACCTCCCTCCGTATCGTTGAAGTTGCGTGCATCGTTTGCGCTTGATACTTTTAGCATCCTCAGACAACTGTTGGGAACAGTAAGTTTGATTTATGATGTTCTTGATAGCTTGAGTGAGAAAGCTCCCATTGTTCGTTACGGGATTTTTTAGAGTATCATTGCAGGCTTTGCGTTTTTTGGCTTTGCATTTCTCGGCTTCAGCTTGCAATCGTTGTTTCTCTTTCTGAATGATATCGTAGAGAATAACGAGCATGACTCGTCGACGAATAGGATCCATCTTGGAAGAGTTTTCGCCCTCGCCAACATCACTCAAACAATACGCAACAAGCTTAGTGTCTTCTCGAAATCCTCTAAACCCCCAGAATTTGGAGTTCGGATATGAAATCCAGTCATATATTCTTTGCGGTATGTCGTCTCCGGTTTGACGATTCCAATTCTTCGTGAGGTTCACAAGATGAGATATCTGTTCTGTTGAAAGTTTCCCTCGTCTTTTGCTTTCCCAGTCATGGAACCATGTTTCTGTTGCGGTAGGCGGTTCTGAATTGCTCCCTCCACATACCTCCAAAATCAGTTTTCCGCGGCACAATGTAATTAGGCTCTGGGAACCAGAGACCTGCCTTAGCATACGAGCGGCATCCTTGTCCTCATCAGCGATATAAATGAAGAGAGACCAGTTTCGCCCAACTTACAACATCGCCTCCAGAATGCGCAATTTCCGCTAGCTCTTCAAGCTTTGATGGTATCTTTGACTGGGTGTGAGCATATAATTCAAAGAGTTGTTTTCTAAAATAACATACTACCGAGCTACTGTTGCCCATTATGCGTATGATAGGACTGCTGGAAGTTGGAATATGATGAACGTTCTCATTTATGGGGCCCGTGGATATACACTCCGGTTGACCCCGCATTCGGCGAAAGGGGCTTATCACGGGATCAAGCGCGGAACGAACCTGGGATAAATTTAGCACCAGGCACAGCACTAAAACAGGTTCAATGGTAATAAGAGCGTAGCTCGCTGGTTCATAGCTACACGTAGTACATTTTCCTAGTGAAGAAGATCTCTTGATAATATTATAGCCCCGCTATCCAGCACATTCTTATAATCTTGATGCGCATCTTCTCTCCATTCCTAATGCCGTGTACGAGGGATCCGGTAAGCGACCAAACTGCTCTGTTGCACGTGAGCTTATACATTCGTATCTCGTAAGGAATACCATGCACTACCCTGGTGTTAAAATGTGCTTTCTAAGTACACTTCATCTCCCAGCCAGCTAAGATTCTCTCTTCTCACGTCATTTTTACAAAGACAGATATAGAAACACATATGGTTGGAGAAGATGTATATGATTTTGCCTAGATGGACATTCAATACAGTACGGACACAGACGGAAACAGTTCTGCAGGGTAGCTTCAAGTGAAGAATACTATTCCAACTCTCAACCATACCGAATAGCCTGTATAGAGCTCAGTTAGTGTGTTAACACTTGTCGCCTAGCGGTCAATCTTGTTGATACGAACCCATTTAGTAGGATGTTATACAAGTAGCGATAATACGGTCTAGAATGGCGTTGATTTAGCTTAACTAGCTCTCGAGAAATTATTAGATGGAGGCCTAATCAGTCCACCGTCCACTTTCATGGATAATATAAGATAGAGAATTTATTTCTCTTGTGTACTATGATGTATTTGATTATGTGGATTATTATACTTTGAATGTTTCTTGACTCTTGTGATATTGAGGCAGGGCCCATTTCGCCATCCATGAGGACTCAAGGACCTGCTTGGCAGTAGGTCGATCCTCGGGTCGAAACGAGAGCATAGATCGTAGCATCGAAGAAATGGCATCTCTTTCCTCCTCGTCAAATAGTGACATGTTACTATCACGCCTCGGTTGCTGCACACTGTCTTCGAAGCGCGTTTCCCATGATCGAAAGGGATTTCTGTCTATTGGCATACCGTCCACGGTGAATTTATATTGTCGTGCTTCCCATTTCTCCCACCATTCCGGTGGCAAGATACCAAGAGCATCAACATGTTCGCAAGTCATATCATCCTGCGTAGCAAGAAAGCCTTCAAATAATGGCCTCTGGGCGATGATGGTCCAGATAGAGCATGCAAGTGTCCAGATATCTGATGAAAAAGACAAAGGTTTGCTTGGTTCAAACCTTACCTCTGGAGGACGAATTACCAGAGGAGTCCGAGATTCATACTTCTGTTCTTGTGAGGGTGAAAAGGCTTCGCCGAAATCTGTGAGCACAATTCTGGCTTCCGCGGAAGAGACCTCCTCACTTGCTTTTCCGAGCCATATCGGCGCAATGCCATGAGATGGGACGCCAGGCGGAAGCGGCTTTCCATCTAAATGAATTACCGGTTCCAGTTCCGGTGCTCCATACTCTTCGTATAATCTTTCGACTGAAAGTTGGTCGAAGTTTGGTGGCATTCTAAGAAGGATATTGCCTAGATGAAGGTCTCCATGAACATAACCCCGAGTATGAATATACTCAACAACAGTCGCAAGTTGCGCAGCCAATATTCGGCACACGTTAGGCTGGAACAAGCGAATCCAGGATCCATCTTTTACGTCAGCCAGACTAGCTCTTGCTGGAATGGTCACGTAGCAACTATGGTTGCCATTCGGGCCTTGAATGTTGAATGTATCTATAGCCGAAGGGATCATTTTTTCGCCCTGGCATTTGATGGAGGGATGTCGAGAGCCAGCAAGGATTGATAGAATATCAAATTCCTGTGAACTTGAATCTGCAGTGCAGATTTTGACTGCGACATATTTCATATTTTGTTCATCGCGAGCAAGCCACGTTGTAGAATAAGAGCCATAACCTAGTTTATGAACTATTCGGTAACGGCCTCTGAACTGATCGCCAATCTTTACGGGATGATATCCTCCCGGTCGATAATTTTCAAGTCTCTCTACCCCTTCAAGAGGCTCATATAAAGGCTCGAAAGTAAAGGTGTTAGTGGCCGCCATTATGTTGAATGTGGTGGCCGAGAATGCTCGGTGGAACTGGACGGGACGAAATAGATGGGAAGGAGACTTCGGTGAGAGAGGAGAGGAGATTATAGAAGAGAGCGGCCGCCTCAACAACGTATGATACATGACTAGTAATGTCCATAAAATATTTGGAATGTTCGAAGAAAATACCTTATTCGCTGCTACGTGCTGTCGCTGTCTGGCTGGCTATAAAGGTCTTCCTGTTCTGTGGGTCAAATTCCGCTCCTGGAAAGACTTTCCTCCGCCCCGGGCGGTACTTCTTGCTCCGCTATTGGCCGTTTGTTTTATTTTTATTTTATATCTGTCTGCCAGCGTTCCATTGCATACAACCTTGCTCGCAGATGGTTGGTTCTTTGGAGTCAGATCTATTTTGGTAATTGTAAGGATCGGCAGAATTGACGATCGTTATTGATGGATGTTCTTGCAGGCGCTTATACGCCCACGGCGAAGTTTTGTCATGATCTGGCTATCGAAAATCACCTAAGAAAATGATTGATCCGAAATATGCTTTTGTCCAGCAGGGCGTCTATCTATAAAAGCAGCGACAACCCATACCAGTAGTGATCAAATTTCTCCTTCATATTTATCTCTTTCAAAAGTTGCGACTTTCAAGCTGCACATTATTCATTTCAACTGAGCAAACATGTCTACGGTTAACATGGTTAAGTACTATTTCTACAAGGGCATGGTCCCAAAAGACCAGGATAGATTACGCAAGCTGGTTGCCTTAGCATATCAGACAGCAAGAGACCGCAAGCTCTATCCGAAAGCAGTTCTCATCAGGTATGGAACAATAACGTTGAGTAGGTGAAGGCCACATTCTAATACACAAACAGATCTGAAATCCACGATACAACCAGCATCAATGGCATACACCAAAAGGACCCATTGGGGCCACACGTCACTCTCTGTTACAAAGACGAGAACCAGCTTCTTCAAGATACGCATGTTGCCAGTCATGGTTATGTAACTGGAAAAGACAATCTTGAGTTTGTTCGTGCAACACACGCTGGAGAGAAGCCGGACTCTACAAAGAGGCAGAAAGGGAAGAAAACCGTGTGGCCGTCGGAGAGTGAGCTCGAGGCCATACCAGAGATCGGCTACGGTCATTTCCTATGAAACTGACTTCAGGCATATCCCATACACTGAGTCCAGTAGTATGCAAAGAAGCGGTTTACCATAATTTCTGTTGCCAATTTAGTTCACTGTGTTTTCGGATTTGGCAAACATTCATATTCCTCCATGTATTTTCGAGAAAAGTTACACTGTGTAACTTCTTTTTCTCAATCGAACCAATCGGAATGACATCCACTACCATAGTGCGGTATCCACTATTAGATCGGCGGTCATCGCGCTGTAAAGAGTACAAAGCCGAGACCCGAGAACAATCTGACCTGGAGAACTTCAGTAAAAATCCAGAACACGAAAAATGAGTGCCTAACATCATTTCACATTTTCCGTCACGCACCGACGGCTATTGGTAGGCCAAGACTGGAAAAATTCGCAAGCGAGTTTGCTATGAACATTCTATTTTCGGAAGATGTGCTCGAATTACTATCAAATTAACTGAGGGCGCAACCTGGTTAATTCGATGGAGCTGAACCATATTGCCTCAAACTACGAAGCCTTAGCTAATGGTGAGCCTACTATACTCTCGCCGATCCTAACCCAACGGTTATGGAAGAGTCGAGTCCTAGTAAACGAGTTATGCAAACAAGGCATCGAATTGGACTTTGCAATATCAACAAAATACCTACCGATGGCGTAACCCATATAACGTGAGGTATTAGATAACATGATACGTGGTAAAGAAGCCTATTGAACGCCGACAATCTGAATTCATCAATTACTCGTGCTCTGTGGAGCTGAGAAAGAATTATGCTGGGATGAAATTGATAAGTGATTATTACAGAAAAAAGAATTTCAGCGTCACTATAGCCAAGTTGGGGTAGGTCTAGATCGTGGAGCCAACAGCAAACGCCTAGTTTGTTTTATTGTCTTTTATTAATGAACGTACCGAAAAAGACTAAAATAGCTGATATCCGATTATTAAATTATACAGCCGTTCCTTTAAGATACATATGTAGGTTACTTGTAAGCTTGCCTATAAAGTAGCACCATGCGTTCTCGGTACCTACATAGCTTCGTGCAGTGGTCCTTTCAATCGTGGTCAACTCTATGTACTAGAATCCAAAGCTATGCGTCCCCTTCTTGCAGCAATGTCACCCTTTTTTGGTTGCCTTGGCCTTTCACGTAAGGCTAACAACACATACTCCCAAGGTTAGTTGCATGACTTGTAAAATGGAAGATACTCATCAAGGTTTTAGATCCTCTAACCTCTCTACTAAAGGACGGAGAGACCGAAGTCGATGGATGTCGTGTATTTCGTAGACACTACATAAAGGAAAAGATTGGGAACAGCCATTTTCGGATAGTATGCCAAGAGAGCCAGTGCTATTTCAACGAATTTGGAGACGTAGTACAAGTTACTGCCTTCCCGACAATCGATTTTAACGAAGGGGCGCTTCGAAAGTCAGAGCGTGGCGTACAGTTATTGGACGATTACGAAATTTGCAAGGGTGTTGGGGGCAAAACGATAAGTTGTGCGTATTGGCCTCTTTGTTTATGCCATGCTTACCTTTTCCATCTAGAATGTTTCCACTTATCGACTGTCGAATGTGTTCATAGTTCCAGGCTCAATCAACACCAACCGTACCCCTTTTCGCTTTTTCCATACTCATCACTTCCTTTGCGCGCATGAATATGCCGAAGGCCAAACACACTCGGCTCCATTTATCCTCTCTAGTAACCTACTCCATCCCCAAGATGAACATATATCCGTGAGCAAGATCTCGAATACTTTATTCACCAATGGTAGTTCTGTAACATCGCGAGCTAAAACGTGTTACGAGTTCCCGCCTTGTATCATGCTCAAAGGAGAAGCCGAGAGATACCATGGGTCGGGATGAAGAGGTAGAAACTGCGGTAGAGAAGAATCTACTCCCAGAATCCGGCTATCGGGCGATGAGCTGGCAGCCAGTGATATTCGCACTGATGGAACCCCGGTAAGAGGTTGTGCATTATGTGCCTTTGGAGTGGTAGCAGGCATAGGCTATTACAATCAATCATGATTATCGCTCTATTGATGTTACTAGTGAACTCTTGTCGAATTAGTACGTTACCAGAGGGCTCTTTATTATTTGAGAGGTCATTGACAGAAGAGCGTAAGGAAATAGGGATTGCTACGCGTAACATGTCTAATGCTCGTAATGAGATCGTGGAAATATACCTGGTAATCCGCAGAGTGGTATAAAGTAGGGTAAAATGTTAGTACATTGCAGATCCAATCCATGCAAGCGACCCATAGAATGAACAGCTTGGTTTCCTTTTTTCTTTTTGCCCTTTCCTATCCCGTGAGCGTTCTATGGTCACACTTATTCGGCGGTAGATGTATATATTCCGAGCATTGATTGCCCTGTGCTACTTCCATCAGCTCTCAGTTGTTATTTCCTGTCTCATCGCAACATGTGTTTTATACAAATTGACATTCACAAGCCATGCGGCAAGAAGTACGAAGGCTTGATTCCCTGTGGCCCGGTTTTCTGTACGCCTGCCAAGTATAAAGCAACACGAACCCAACATCTAGCTTCCCCATGTAGGGAGTGCGACCTTTGCATCGATAAAGAGGAATTTCATTACAAATGAGGTTGGTTTTCCGACCCATAAAATAAATACACACACGATTCTAATGTACAAAGGTGAACAGGGAAATGCAGTTGTTCGTACGCAAGACATAGGCGAGGGGTTGGGAAATAAAAGAGATTTAGGAGCTTGAGTAGTAGAAGGTAGTAAGCAGATCAGGGGTTTGTTTTTCTATGGCAGTTGCGTGGCATCCAAATGTATTTTCTGTAGTTAGGGTGCACTGGAGCATACAGATGGGTGTGGTCGAAGCCGTGACAGAGCTCACGGATTTACTCATAAAATCCGGCTATTGGGCAATGAGCACAGCAGTGATAATTTTAACTACTTAAGCGCTATAGCCTCTTGCATCTATTTTGTTATTTATCTCTGCCCTGCTTTTTGCCTTACACTTTTGGAGCAACAGTGATGATGGATGTACGAAGACTTGAATGTGTTAACCTTGATGCCGAACTCTCTTCTTTCTCCATCACAAGGGACCCCGGATACAAATTCTTCCTCGAGGGACTCATCTGTTCCTTGCGGGTCAACGTCATTATCCTCGACAAATATGCGCCAGCCTGTTCCATACTTCTTCTCCAGCGTTCTGCTCGCGACAGCAACTCCGGGTGCTGGGAACCGCCTGGCGGCAAGGTCCACCACGACGACAAAACTTTACGTGAAGCTGCTCAACGCAAGGTTGAGAAGAAAACTGGTATAACTGGATTCAAGTTCTTTGATACTGTACCAATCAAGGTGTGGGACACTTCGAAGGCTGAGGGAGTACGTTGCTGGATTAATTTCACGTTTCTTGCGAGTGTCGATGGGCAGTCTGGGTGGCAGGAAAGCATACGTTCGGCGGAAGAGGAGCATCGAGTTTTGAAGTGGGTCACAAAGGGTGATATATTGGGAATGGAGGAGACTGCATTCAATGGAAACCATCTGGAGACTATCCTCGAGGTATTTGATTTTGTGGAGAATGCAATTGGCGCAAGCTAGCGTGTGTCATCTACTGCCGCCCACCACGAGCTTGAACAGCTGAATAGAACGTCGACCTACACAGAGAAAGATTACGGGCATAGGGAGGATTAGTATTGGTAGTGCACTATGGCCTAGATTAGCTTTTCTGAGCGGGAATCCACTCACCCTTTGAACATCGTCCTGTTCCCCTTGGATAATAAACAAGGGGGCTAAATATAGTTGTATGACAACTGCAGATCCACTTTTTTTCCTTTTCATTATTTTGATTAGCTTTGAAGCGAACCATTCTCAAAGCCTCGGAATACAGTTTAGCTTAAGTTTTATTAGGTATTATACCTGATAATTCATAAGAGGTCGGATTCATCACTGCTTGATCGCCCGTCTGATTCTTCATTTCCTTTCAATCCTACAATGGCCTACCAAAATTCATCCACGTTCTCGCAGCTCCAAGGTGTAACCTCTTCGCTTGATAGTCATGGGGGCTCCCAACACCACCAGGAATGGAGCCATGTGGAGCCGGGCATTGTTCCTGTTCCTCATCAACCTCCCCATCAACCCCGTGTTTTGCCGACACACGAAAGGTACCTTACAACTATACAATACGCATATACATTGATCAAAGTCAATGACATCCAGGGTGCAGCTGCAGTTTTACAAGGAATAGATAAGACTGGACTTGTGGACATACAGAACGAATTGCTTCCAGAAACAGGACTCTCTAATCATGCTGTTGTAATAACAGGTGATTATAGTACTGTAATTGACTTTTGGAAGCAATTTAACCTCTGCTGGTTGGCACTTGGTCAGCGCATCCTGGATAACCTTAACAACCACATTCCTCCTCCAGCCTTTACAGACAGGTTATTGGAGCGCTTAGGAGAGCACATCATACAAATGTGCAATTATCTGGAAAAGTTTGGCTTGGTTGATTACGAAATGGGTGTCTGGGAAGAGGAAATTTTAGACGGTATGACCTCAACATACAGGGTTGTATGTTTTTAGCTAAAAATAAAAACAACATAGTCTTTGGCCGCGGCTTAGATGAATTAGCGAAAAGAAAAAAGAATCACGCGACGATGGTGTACAGAAGAGCTATCGAGTATCTTTTCCACATACACTCCACGACCAGACTGAACGGGAAGAAATAATTCAACGATTGAGAAGACTGGGGAATAAGTGAGCTGGGGTATCTGCGGGCTCACACAGTTTAGGATTTGGTAAGATAGGAGAATAGTGCAGATGTAGCTAAATGAACATTTTGAATTATAAGAGGCTACTCATTCTATTGCCTTTGAATCTATGTTCCACTAATTAAGAGGCTATTGTATGTCCCTATGACCTCGTAAGAGAGCTCATGAAGCGATAGTATTTTACTACATCATAACATGAGTCAATTCAGGCAAGGCCGTATATTCCTATGTTTATTACTCCCATCTGTAAGTCAGAAAGTGCTCTGCCCT